ATGTCTTTCAACTCATTCACTTTTTTAGGTGGATATTTGCTGGCTTGACTGTCATTTAAGAAAGTCCTTGCATATGCTAATGGACCAGCATTGACCTAAATTGTAAGAGGAAAAAATAAGTATGAGAGTTGTCAGAATATAATAAAATTATTTATTACTCTTACTACAATTTTATTTGGAAAATCATTAACTAAAGCAAATAACCTGAAAAGATAACATTCTAATAAGTTAGTTAATGATTGCTGATATATAAACATACAGCTTGGCAACAATCATAGGAATTTATGTCTAAATCCTTTGACATAACATTAATTTTTAGAAATTGATTTCCATATAATTACTTTATTAATAAAAAATAATGCCTAGATTTTTGCACTCTCTAAGAATATAATGCACAATTACAATTAATGCTTGCTCCTTGCCCTTATGGAAGCAAGAGAAACATTTGACAAATGTTTGGTGACTGACGTACCTGCACAGAAACACAACCTTGCAATTTCAATTGGAGCTGAATCATATCCACGTCAGCAGAGGAGCAAAGCTTTTGTAGCTCTGCTGTTTTATCTTTTATTTCATCAGTAGCAACATCAATTGGTTTTAGATTAATCTGCTGTTCATAGTTTATAGGGATCCTCTTCTTCACGTAGGGAAACGAGTTTGAAGCTATTAAAATGTTAAGGTTGATTTACTATCTTAAAAAATCATGTGTTAAAACAGCACTATTATTATCCTCATTTTACTAATGAGAAAAATAAGGCAAGAGAATATAAGCAAATTTCTCATGATCACACAGCTAGTGAATGGCAGAGACTGAAGAATTGAATCCTGGTCTGTTTGATTCCAAAGTCTCTGTCCTTTCATTCGCTGTCTGGGAAGGTGCTATTTCTATGCTTCTCCACCACCAGATTAAAAAAAAAGAATAAATAAATTCAGTGTGCTTAATTCTCCCCACGCAGTCTCTCGAAGATGTCTTCTGTACCATACAGTGCCTTACTGCTGCAGGGTGGAGGGAGAAATTCTCTTTACAAGACACTGCTGAGCAATCGTGCACTACATATGGTTTATCACAAGGATGTTTTTGTGCAAACTAGTGACTGAACAGCAGAACAATGAATGATTAAAGGTTCAGTTACACTTTCCTGCTGGACAGCGGCTACTTGTGTGTATGAAAAAGGACCAAGACAAATATGAAATTAAGATACAGTCCTACTTACTAGTCAAGATTGTACGGCGTTTGCACTGTTCTTCTATACAGCCTTGCTTTTTGCCTGATAAAGTGTACGGCGCCTCAAAAACAAATCTGGTGATATTATGATTTCTTTCAAACTCAGTCTTTCTTTCTGTGAGTTCTTTGTCATCAAAGTAGGGTTTCACATAAGTGACTTGAATATGAGCATATTTTGGATCAAGCTCTTTGACATTTACCTATGAAATATGAAGGATTATTTTTTTAAAATTCAATGAAAGGGAAAACAGAGTATAAGTAAGTTATTCTTTCAAGACCAATTTAAGAACACTGTCATTATGATTGGGAACTCTGGTGGCATAGTGCCTAAGGCATTTGACTGCTAACCAGAAGTCTGGAGGTTCAAACCCACTAGCCACTCCTTGGAAGGAAGGTTGGGCAATCTACTTCCACAGTGATATCACCTTGGAAACCCAAGGAGGGGTTGCTATGAATCGAAAATGACTAGACGGCAGTGATTTTTTTTTTTTTTTGGTCATTATGATTATATCCTTAATTGAATACACATCTGAAGGAGATCTTTGCTCTTTTTAAAAAATATCATTTCCTTCTGATGATAAAGAAGTTTCAGAAACCAATTTGGAGATTACAGAAAGGCATGATGAAAAGAAAAACTGTAATGCTACCACCCAGAATGACAGACACATTTTCATGTATTTCCTTCCAATCTTTTTTTCTTTTTACAAAACTGAGATCACACTGAACAATGTCATGTAATCTGATTCCTTAAAACTATATTGTAGTTATTAAAGACTTCCGGTAAGAGAGAGGAATAGGCAAGACAAGCAACACAGAACTTCTTCAACAAAGAAAGAAAAAGCAATTGACAGAGATACAGAAGATAATCCTGGAGCCCTGAGCTTTGAAAGGAACTATGCAGAAGTGGATTAGGCACCAACTAGTGGAAAAACCTGAACGAAAACAGTGAGGACAGAGAAGGTCAGAGCTGCATACTTCAGCTACTCTGATGGGACCAATAGATTGAATATTTCCAAGTGGTGTTGGGACCAGAGAATTGACCTAAACATCAGCCCTGGTCACCAAGGGCTACAGGGATGATGGCGCTGGTGGCCTATGACTAGGAAGGGAAACAGCAAGGAGGGAGACAACTTGAGATGTTGATTTTTTGCTGTCCGGAGGGGGCAGCCATTTTGGATATTTAAAATGACCGAGGGTGCAGCCGTTTTGAATCTTTACAAATGGCAACCATTTTGCACTTTAAAGTGATAGCATTGTCTTTTGGATTCCAGGGACCTAAAAATAGGATCTATTTGCCAACGTCGGCAGGGATATATGAGAGGCTGACAACAGGAAAAGAGACAGGTGGTGAGTGTATAAGTGCTGTCAACTAGTGAATAGAGGAGTACAGTTCCTTGCTTGCATAGATAACATACAAACAAAACAAAGAAAATGAAAAT